AAATCAGGCAATTCCCTTCTAAACCAGGGGATGGGGCCCTCAGCTCCAATCACTCACAGATGTCCTCCACTGATGTAATTAGACCAGCAGACAGATATGTATATAATTTCTTTAGTAGGAAAACAATGACATCCAATCTTTATCGATCTGTAGACCTCCTCAGTATAGATTACACTGAGTGGCCAGATTATTATGCCCACCTGACGTTTGTAGGCAAATTAGCTATAATTTTGCGCTGAAGTTGTTAGAGGGCCAGACCATTATAAATAGGGAAGCAGGTTGATTACCACGACAGTAGAAGTGATTTGTTTCGGAAGATATGGGTAAACAACGCAATTTAACAGCCTTTGAAAGTGGGACGATTGTTGGCGCTCGGAGCCATGGAGCGAGTATCAGCAAAACAGCAGAATTCGTTAAATGTTCAAGAGCAGCTGTTGTTAAAGTGTTTAAAAGACTGGACTGTCAGACGAAAATCTGGGTCTGAACGTGCGAATTTTGGCCGTCAGCGACTAGTCAATGTTAAGGCAGAACGGAGAGTGGCAAGACTGGTACAAGACAACAGAAGGGCAACAGTGCATCAAATTACCCCAGATCTTAATCAGGGATCCTCTCAAATGATCTCTGAGCGCACTGTTTGCCGTACACTGCATCGTATGGGATATGAAAGCCAAAGGCCTGTTGCTGTCTGCAGTTAACAAGATAAAACGTCTCCAATTCGCAAAGGAACACAAGGATTGGACAGTCGAGCATTGGAAAAAAAGTAATGTGGTCCGATGAATTACGTTTCCAGTTGCATCATGCAGATGGCAGAGTGAGAATTTGGCGGAAACAGCATTAAAGCATGCACCCCACAAGCTGGTGGGGGCAGTGTTATGGTTTGGGGCATGTTTTCCTGGCATGATTTGGGCCCTTTAATTAGTGTGGAACAACGTCTCAATAGCACAACATACCAAAGTATCGTTGCTGATCACGTTCATCCTATCATGTTGATGGTGTATCCCAATGGAGATGGCTTCTTCCAACAAGACAATGCGCCATGCCACGGTGCTCGTATTGTGCAGGAGTGGTTTCAAGAACATGAGGGAGACTTTACCTTGCTTTGGTGGCCCCCACAATCACCAGATCTCAATCCAATTGAGCATTTGTGGGACGAAGTTGAAAGAGCCATCAGGCAGCTGGTTCCACAAACATTAAATCTCACAGAACTGGACAGTGCTATTCATCAGGCACGGTGTCAGATTCCTCGCATCACCTTTCAACATCTCGTGGAGTCAATGCCAAGAAGAATCACCGCAGTATTGAAGGCAAAAGGTGGCCCAACGAAGTACTGATGGGGTGGTCATAATAATCTGGCCACTCAGTGTAGAATGTCAATATCAGGATTGTGTTATCCAAAAAAAGAAAGCAAACACCATAGCGCGTAGCACCCAGAGTATGATTTATTAAAAGAAAATGACTCACATAAAAGCAGTGGTAACATAGCACGGAATCTCTCTTAGGAGTGTGTGCAGGAGTTTCAAATGACTGCGGCCGTCAGTCATAGAGATCAATGTGACATCAGATGCTCCGTCCTATGTGCATTATGTCCAGCGTGACTTCATCAAGGATCAGCTGGCATGAGTAAACTGGGTAATAATACTCCTCTCTCTAGATTGGAAAATAAGGACCTTCACCAGCACACCATGGTATAGTGACAATCTTGCCCTTTATTCAGATAAAGCAACATACATTACAAGTCAATGTTTCAGGACCTTGCAGGACCCTTCTCAAGGCAAATAGATCTTTTTTGTCACTCCTCCTTGAGGAAGAGATCCTGTGTGTTCATAATTTAATATGATTATATAGTTGCGCAATCGATTAATTCACGACAGCACCCTGCATGAACTGTGGGAAGCCTGTAAAATGTGCGATGGATACAATACAACTTTTCTCTCTCTAGATGGATCATAACTTAACATTCACCCACCACTAAAATGCTCAAGGATGGCCTAACAAGATAATTTATTGCATAGCAAACCAGAAAAGATACAAATTAACCTGTTACTGAACTGTGTTTTTTTGTATAAAATTCTACATGCATTTAAGCAGCAATGTGTATCTATATGATCACATATTTTTGTTTGAAAAGTTTTGCTTTTGCAGTCATGTCTACTTGAATGTTTAGAAATTAGGTCACATTCTGTAACTCACAGTGGGCATTCTAATAGGCTGATTAGTATCGCTCTGATACCACTAAGTGGGATAACAAATATTAAACAGGTTTCTTCTTGAAAGTAACATTTATAAATAATTTTTAGCATTGCAAACCAACTAACTGTAAATGTATATCTACAACTGAAAAACAGATTAAAGAATCAAGCATTAGGCATTTCACAGTTACTGCTACACAGTGCTATTTACAGTGCCACAGGCAGGGCTGTACAGTGCTGTATTGTGCTACATTACAGTGAAGTGCAGTGTGGTGAGTTACAAAATATGGAGTTAATTCCCCTGTATTTACTGTGCTGTAGAGTGCTACATTACTGTGAATTGCCAGTGTGGTGGGTTACATAATATTGTGTACCATCGTTTGTATTCATAGTGAATAGACCCTACAGACTTTGTGTATGCCAGCAATAACTTCTGTTTAGCTGCTGCCCCACCCTTGCAATTTGTTTGGGTGTATTTTTTTCTTTCGCTTTTCTTCTGTTTTAAGTTTCTCATAGTTGGTCGAAACATGTCAGCACACCATCAGTAACTTGCTGCAGGAGGATTCTCAGGAATTAATTGTATCAGATGTTGAAGAAGAGACCACCAGGAGCATAGAGGAAGTGGAAAGCAGACAAGGAGAAGCAAATGCCATTGATGTTCCTGAAGCTGCGGCTTACTGCCAAGTGGAGAGAGAGGAACAACATCAGTGAGGTAGGATGTCATCCAGGGGCAGCTTGCAGAGGAGTGGAGGAAGCAGCCACCCTATTCGACCAGATGGCACTGCCCTATGGGTGCAGATAACTGCTATCCCAGGCCTGCTCTGCAGAGCTCAGAAATCTGGGCCTTTCTTTACACATCTGCTGCCAACAGCACCATAGTGGTATGCAGAGCCTGCCTGCAAAGTATCAAGCTTGAAAAATGTACCAGTTATTTGGGTACCACATGCACGAAGACACTCAAGACTGTTCATCACGCAGCCCTTCGGCAAACAAACTGCCTCCTGCTACAGCCAAATATTTCAAACTTTGATTCATCAGTCCAGGGTACCGACGGCCATGTTTTCTTGCATAGTTGAGTTGCTGAGTCTTGTATGGTTGGAGGTATGGCTTTTGGCTGCAATTTTTCCATGAAGACCACTTCTGGCCAGTCTGCTTTGACATCATTGCCTGGAAGAGACCTTGCTGATGCAGTATAACTACCTTGTGTCTTGTTGCTGTGCTCAGTCTTGTCTTGCCATGGTGAATGACTTGTGAGATAAAACTGTCTTCCACAACATCAGCTTGGTAGCAGAGTTTGCCTGTTCCTCACTCAGTTTTAAGCCTCTTACACAGCCGTTTCTCTTTCAATTAATGACTGTGTTTCAACCTACCTATGAAATTGATGATCATTAACACCTGTTTGGTGTAATGGGTTAATCATACACTTGACTTTGTGCAAGTGTAAAGGTGGCCATACACCTGCCGATTATCGTATGATAATCGCGGGAAATCCCGTGATCGTGCGAAAATCGGCAGGTGTGTGGAAGGCGTGCAACCGTTTCTACTGTATCTTACGATTTGCGGCGGGTTTGTGGTGTGCTGGTACGACAAATGCCGCACAGGACGGTGTCCGCAAGCGCACATTGCCCGTTCAGCATTGCAGTCATCGGAAGCCCGCCCTTCAGCGGGCGATGGTTGTAAGGTGTTTGGCCAGCTTAAGAAATTATACTAGTTTGAAGTTAAAGGGTAGTCACACCAAATATTGATTGGATTTAGATTTTTCTTCCGTTCACTCACTTTGCATTTTGTCAATTAATAAAAATAAACAAATCCAAGGCCATATTATATGGATATCAAAATAATACAAGTGTAAATTACTGCCACCTTTAACAATTTCCAAACCCCCCCTTGCTTAAATCTACCCCACAGTGTTGAATAAAAATATGATATCTCCCATATTCCAACTGTAAGGATTCTAGGGCTGCAACTAACGATTATTTTCACAATTGATTAGTTGGCCAATTATTTTTTAGATGAATCGATCAAATCGGATAAAAGATACCATCTTTTATTTAAAATAAAATACACAAATTGAGTGTTACAAACATAAGGTTTACTTGAGAATAAAGCTGCATGCACATTGTTTGCAATTGCACGGCATTGTGCTACCATGCATTCCAGGAGGGGCGATTGCATTTAGCCATGAATATTGGTCAGAGAATTATTGCTCTCACTCTGCAGCATGCAGCGATATCTGACATGAGTAGCACAATCTTGGGTTTCCATACGTAGGTGCACCTGAGGCATGTTTCCATTAGTATGTGCGCTTGCAGGGCCAGGTTTCGATCTGACATGCATACAAGTCCAATTTAGACAGTAGCCAATTAATCTTCTAGCATGTCTTTGGAGTGTGGGAGGAAATCAGAGTACCCGGAGGAAAGCCACACAAGCCTAGGGAAAACATACAAACTCAAGATAGTATCCTGACCGGGATTTGACCCGGGGACCAGCAGTGCTGCAAGGCAGAAGTGCTAACTACTACATGACTGCACTATTAGTTAATTTGCTGACAACCAACACATGAATCAGGAAAGCAATTAACATCCCTAGAACCAGTCTTCTCTATTATAAACAGACTGAAAAGGATAAATCGGGTCCCACTGGTGTTCACCTGTAACCCATACCTAAAGTTCTAAGAAATAACACAAAAGAGCTCCAGACACTTGTGCACAAAGAAGGATTAACATATTCACAGAACCACCTCTACTAGCATATCAACAACCACCCATCCTTTAACACCATCTGAAGCAATGTTTAATTTGACACACATACCTTCGGGGGCATTTGTGTTGCAATCTACAGAATGAAATATTGTTGAATTTCCCATATTGACCTCTAGACTGTTATTGCTCTGAAAAACAAATGCATCCAAATAACTAGTAAATAAATCTTTAAGCAATAGAAAGTATAGGAAAAAATATATACATATTCATACTCCATTCCAAAAAGCTATAATCTAATAACATGGGGGGTGATAAGTGAAGTCTGGTGGGCCAAGTCCCCTTCTTGCTATTTCTTCACCAAAGAAAGAAAAATCTTCTGCCATAGATCCCGGATCTGTTTCCACCCATGTAATATTAAGACTATAAAGCAAATTAAAAATATAGAATAAAGAGGAATCCCTTTGTGACTGTTGCAACAGGCGTGCAGACCTAAGAATTTAAGTGCAAGAATCTCAGTATCGTTATCCCCAAGAGACAGAGGAAACTGTTAGGTGGTTTCCCTTTCCAGCATCAAAGACTGAAATATCACTTTTAAAACAAAGATGAGATGTGCAAACAATAGTGTTTCACCATCATTTACTGCATTTCTTGATATGCGAGTAGCCTGTGTCCTTTCAGAATAAAAGCACTTTTTGCCTAGTGGATCGTAATAACACTGTTTATAACATATTCTATGTTTAGAATATTAGTATAAAATGTAAAACAGTAAAATCACCATTTGCTGTATAACCATTTTAAAGAAGGACCAAATAAAGAAAATGTGTACATATTTATTAATTATTATTCAGGATTTATATGATTCAGGATTTATATAGCACCAACAGTTTACATAGCACTTTACAAAATAATAGGCAACAGTACAATTACAATACAATGCAAGGCATGAGGATTAGGAAGGGCCTGCTTGTAAGAGCATACAATCTAAAAGTGACACAATGTTATGACTATGATAAGCTAATGGAGAAAGTAAAATTTCAGTTGTTAGGTAGAGGCACAATAGGCTTCTCTAAAGAGATGAGTTTTCAGGGACTGCCCAAATGTGGACCGAGTAGGAAATAGTCAGATATGTTGGGGTAGGGGGACTCTGAAGAAGTTCTGAAGGCAAGCATAGGGGGAGGTGATGAAGGAGCTAGAGAGCAGAAGGTGTTGGGAGAAGCAAAGAGGATGGCTTAAGTGGTATTCTGAGACAGGGTAGGTGATGTAGTTTGGGGTAGAGTTGTGTATGACGTTGTTACTATTTTGAGTTATACTTGTTGGGCGAGCAGAAACCAGTGGAGGGATTGCATTGAAGGGCTGTCGACACACAATGGTTGGTAAGGTGAATCTGACTGACACCACCATTCATGATAGACTGAAGAAGGAACAGTCCATGTGAGGTAGGCCATCAAGAAGGAAGTTGCAATAGTCCAGGCAAGAGATAACAAGGGTGTGAATAAGTATCTTGGTGGTTTCATTGGTTAACAAGGGACACAATTTTATAAATATTATGGAGGTGAGGGCAAGATATGGACAGTGATTGGATGTGGAGTCAAAAGGAGAGATCAGCAAATATATAAAATACATGCATTTATATATGCGGTACATGCCTCCATGTTAAATAGAGATAGATAAAATGTTGCCTATGAATAGTTTTTTATGTGACAGGGTCACTGCATCTTACCTGTACTGGATATTTTTGGCTTCCATACATGACATATTGAGGTGCCAAACTGTAAATCATGTAGTTTGTGTGCAGAACAATTAATAGAAGGATCATACAGAGGAATAGAAGAGCTTGAGGTCTTGTCCGTCCTCTTCTTATCTTGTACAGCTGTTAACATGAAATAAGCTATTAAAAAGAGACAATTTGCTTAAAATATGTAGTCCTTTAATTGTTTCTAACAATTTTCTTCTTACAGCTCAATCATCAAAGGTCAGTTTCTAAACCAGTGGGAAGAACTGCACATGATGAACTCTTGTTATTCCCCACCTTGTTATAAGATTGGAGCAGTATCAGGCGTATGGCTCATACACATATAAAGCAAGAAGGCTGCTGCATACATATACATAATAGGTTACCTCATTAATAACAACATATGTGTGTGTTACATAGGAGGATGATTTTAATTATTAACAAAAAAAAAAAACAACAAAAATGCAAGGATATGCAGTTAGTTCATTTTTTTTGTAATCCACTTTAACATTAATCTATTTCAAGCAAGCTAATGTTGATGGATAACAACTGCTGATGCTCTAAGCTACCAGAGTCCTTGCTGCTTGAAGAAACCGCCTAGAGATCATGAACCATACTGCAGCAGACTAATATTTCATACATAGGGATATAGAAAACAGAACACTGTATACCATGTAACTACTGCCTGTATGCTGCTTATATTTTTTGCTATGCCCTCTCTTATTCTCACAAATACATTGTATACACGCCCAGTTACATCCAAGAAGCTCCCGGCAGGCCGTGTATACACAGCGGCTGGCCGGGAGGTAGTTAAAGTTTTAAAAAATATTTTCGAAACTATTCTTTTTCCATATTTTATTTGAGCTTAAATGTCACAATTTTGCAAAGGTATCATAGTACATTCTTCTCTAATCATGGCTTCAGCTTAGCTGCCCCAAATTATATTTTATAAATATATTAAAAGTCTGTGTTCCTTTAGTAAAACAACCCTACTGTATATACTCTACTTTTTTTGCAAAGTGGCAAAAAAAAAAAAAATGTGGGGGCTGAGAAAAAAAAAAAAGAAAATGTAATTTGAGAGGGTAAAACCGCCTTCTCAAATGATTTACATATGTAATTTTACCACTGAGTTGAAGAGTGTCTGCAATGGGTTAGTTAAATTGATCCAATTATAAAATATGTGTATCTGAACGTAAGCCACATAACCTTTATTCACAGGAATTTAATATATCATCTTGTTGCACAGTCAAATCCATTTGGCTAATCCATTCACATAAAGTAGGCATTTTAGAAATATTTCAGTATATAGGCATTATGAGTGAGGGCAGACTTGCAATATACTTGGGGAATTCACCGAAAAATTATGCAATTAGATTATGCCAGGACCTTTTGAATTATAAGCAATGTTTGCATATGTTTAATATGTACATCTAAAAAGAGAGAACTCAACTAGCAAGGTCTCCATATACAGAGAAAAGGGTAGTGTAGGCCAAGTTAATTTCCTATTGCACAGCAAGAAATTGAAAGGAACCATGTTTTTCATTATATATGTCTCTCCTTTATAAATGCCAGTGAAGGAAAAAAAAACATTACATTGCAGTGTAGAAGTATAAAAAGAGTAAACAGAAAGGCACAGAAAAAAGTGATCCAATTAAAACAATTTTGGTCTATCTATCCATCTATCTATCTATTCACATTTCTTGTACTTTCCGTGATATACACCAACACAATAATAATTGGAAAAAAAAGATATAGGCGTTAAAACTACTGAAGATAGCTGGTGAGAGATATGGTCCACCCCATCTGGAGGCTCTTACTTCATATTTTAATTAGAAAAAAATCAATTCTCTACTGCATTCACTATTATATGTTCAATGATATATTGCTGGCCCACTAAAAAAGACAAAACCTATGTATTCCAGAAAATATGGGCCATTACAGTCATGCCCACAGAGTTTGATACCTACCTGTTAACAATCTTAGGTATTTATATAGCTCTGAACCCGGGTGGGGATTAGATGAGACCCTATACTATGCCCTTTTTTCCATTTATATTTTCATGTATGCATTAAAGTGGTCCACATTAAGTAGTATACATTAAAGTGGGAGGAATACCGCCTGTTGCCATATAAGGTTCTGCTTGTGTAAGATCTTTAATAGATATTCTGATATATGTTTAAACCATTGTTTGTGTTTGTCCACATACTGTACAACTTCCTTCTTCCCAATTGTGACTGAATCTTTCTACTTCAAAGGACTGGCCAGTGTTTTGTTTGCTTATAGCGTCTCACACGGGTAAACTTAAGTTAGACTCTCCAATTAAATTGCACCCCATGTACATTTGGTAGCCATTATACAGAAAGGAGGAAATATAATCTATTGTTACCCAGCCATGGTTTTTTTCCCCCTTAGAGTCAGAAGCAATCAGTATGAAGAGGTGTGAGAGGCAAACCAACGCCATACCTGTACTGTACATTGTCTTGTAAATATTGTTTTGTGTTTGTCTTTGTAAATACGTAACCCCACCAATAAATGTATATTGCTGATTGAACTGCTTCTTTTGTCTGAGAATCTTTACAGGTGTTTATGTGAATACTCTTATAGTGATTGAAATATATTTACAGTACACATTCACTTAACATGGTTAACAAACTCCTACCTGAACGCATCTTCCTCTATTCAAAACGTTGTAAATATCATTACTCTATGTGTTCATAAGGCCGTATTTCACCTGTTAAATTTTTCCCATTCACTTTCTATATTTGTGTTTTTTTAGAAAGACTGTGCCCTAAATATAATAATAAAAAGACTAATGTAGCAGAGATCACAATGGCCCAACTTACTGGAATAAGACTGGATTAACCTCTTCATGACTGAGGCCTTCTTTTCATTTTTTGCACCCATGTTATATTCCACATTTTAGGCCTAAAAATAACTTAAAACCCCCAAACATTATATATTTTCTGAATGCCAAGACCCTATCTATAGAATAAAATGGTGGTAGTTGCAAATTTTTATGTTGCGCAATATCAGCGCAACTCCTTATTAAACCCCAACATTTAGTGAAAATTGTAATTAAATGCCCCAAAACACAACAAAATACCAATTTTTTTAATGAAATATAAAAGATGAGGTTACAACGAGTAAAACGATACCCAACATGCCCAGGTTACAAATTGCGTGCATCCGTGAAACGGCGAAAAACTGCAGTACCCGAAAAAGTCCATAGAAGACGCTTTAAAAGCCCCACAGGTCATGAATTTAGAGATACCCCAAAATACTGGCCCTAGAATTATTGTTCTCACTCCGGTGTGCGCGGCGATACCCAACATGTGTAGCACGTTCGTTGTTTTCATACGTAGGCGCATGCGACGCGTGTTTACGTTAATAGCTGGGCTGCAGAGCCCAGAACTGAAAGCCCAGGGACCGGAAGTGATGCAATCTGCATCGCTCCCGGTCCCATAGAACGGGGAGGGGATCGATGAACGGAAGTGGGGCGGCCCCTTCTACGAGACACAGAAGCGATCTGGCGACAGGTAAGTCGCCAGAATCGCTTCTGTTGTAAAGCCGACAGCCGGCTTTACAAGTTTAAACAGAGTCCCGGCAGCAAAAGCCCCCGGGACTCTGTTTAAACAGTCCTGATGCTGGCGATGTACACTGTACGTCGTCAGTCACGAAGGGGTTAACAAACTAGAACAATAAGTGACAGTTAGAGGTTCACATGTTATGTCATGGCCCTATAGCAAGTGGCAGCTTCATAAACATCTCTGCACTCCTTGATTCTTTACATGCACCAGTTTCGCAAGACAAGCACTTGACAGTAGGGGTACGTAGCAAACAGACTATAGTTTGACAGTCAGAGTCGTCATTTCCAGAACACATGCCTAAACATGCTCCTGTTTTACTATGATTAAAAAAAAAAAATTTCCATACATAGTACAAGAGAAATTCACAAACGTGGTTTGCTGCACTTAACATAAAGCTTGAACACACTTGGATGGGAGATTCATTTATTCTTTGCTCATTTATCATATCAGCCAAATGTAGCAAAGGTAGACAGAAAGACACAATGTGCACTTTGTTTTGCATTGGATCACAGACTCGAAATATAGGTGGACCAACTCGCAGCAAGCAAAGACGAATAATAATCAGATTTGTTTTTTTTCCAGTTTGTTAAAAAAATGTGTAAATAATTTACCCTCATCCAAAAGAACCATACTCCCATATGTCGAATGCCAGCCATGGACGTAAACACAAAATACATGATAATGACTGTGATCAACACATAGTCCAGTGGAAAAACCTGAAAAACAAAACAAAACAATGATGGCAAGCAAAAATCTTTCCAAATGGCACAGACAATTGAAAAAAACTTTTTCAGTACAGTAGGGGGTAGGACAGGACCATCTTCTATCCCCACAACTAAACACAAGGAGGCAGCCTGTATTATGTGTACTTATACAAGCTTTGGACTCCTAAGCAAAGATATTAGTATCCAAATTCAGCCATAAAAAAAACAATAGTTCAAGTTGTATTGTGAGGCTCCCAGGCCACCCACCTTCCTCCCAATTAATGATGGCAGGGTTACGATGCAGCAGTTTTAAGTACTAATCTTAGAAGAGTTTTTGCACTTGCAGCAAAAATACTCTGATGACATAGGGGCTGAAAAGAGGATGATGCAGGTGGCCCCTAAATCTCACAATTTGACAATGCTGGAAATGTTGATTTAAAAAAAAAAAAAAATTTGCATTGCTGATATTTTTGCTCATGAGTCACAATTTGCACCAGGAGTCAAGAGTGGGGGAGTATGTGAATATGTGTTTCTTTAAAAAATACACAGACACGGTCCATGACCATAAAAAAGAAAATCTATGCATATCACTTGACATTACTATAATATTTGCTCCACAAAGAATATTGCAATAGTGCAGGATTGTCGGAGCTGCAGCATTTTGTAATAATGGATGTAGTATGCATGAATATAATGGTACATTCTGAAACAAAGTACAGTAAAATTAATTTATTGTGATTCAAAACTTCCTGTCAAACTCACTACACATAGTCCTGCTTTTATCAGGTTCTCCTTTAAAGTAACACTAAACTCTGGAGGCAAATCTTAAAATTGCATTCAAATACCTTAACTATTAACAAAAATGTTTATCACTCAGCTGTACATCCTCAAATCATCTCTGAATTCATGCTGACACTGTCCTTCCTTCTGCAGGGTGGTTACTTTTGTTCCCCATGGTCCCTGTGTGTGTTGTAAGAAGACAACGATCCAAGCTACTTTACAACACACACAGGGACCATGGAGAACAAAAGTAGCCACCCCCCAGGAGGAAGATAAGCACCAATTCAGAGATGATTTTAAGATCTACAGCTGAGCGGTAAACAAGTAAGCTACATTTTTGTTAGTAGTTGAGGTATCTGAATGCATTTTTAAGATTTAAATCCTGAGTTTAGTTTAACATTAACAAGACTAACGTGTCAACAAAGGCATTTTAACAACACAACTTCTACTCACCCTTTGCAAAACTGGGAGAAGTAGATTCAATGGATTTGTTATGTTTGTACCAAAGATTATAAATCCTGACTTAATGCCGGCAGAGTGAAGAGCTTTATCCAGACTACCAAAAGAGGTTAGAAATGATTATTACATTACTATTCTTATATAACAAACCATAATATAAAGTAATATAAAGCTTCAGTAGGGATACCTTGGTGATACTCAAAGGTTACCGTTTTGAATCTATTCATATTGTATAGGCTGCCCAACATATGCCCACGTACATCAAAACTGATAATTAAAATCAATAAGCAGAAAACTGGATCATTTTATTCCTATGGTTTTAAACGTTAAATGGGTGAATGAGCCAGGCACATAATGTTGTTTTAGGTGTTTTTGCAACCTTTTACTCTTTCTTTTTGACAGAGTGATCAGACAGCCAGTGCCCATATTGATTGACTGAAGTCACTGTTGAGCTGACAAGCAAAAGTGAATGAAAAAAACTACTTTTGTTAAACAGAGTGATACAGACAAGGCACACACTGCTGGAATTTCATCAGTCAGCAGGACTTGCTGAAATCCAAGTAGTGTATGACAAGCTTAAGTAAGGCAACACTCATCAATTGGTTTGAGGCTGAACTCCAGGCACAAAACCATATATTTAAATATACTCGATTGCCACAAAAGCTATAAATTCACTTTGTGTACACCAAATACCTTTGCACATACACATATTGCCTTGTAAAAGTAGTGGTGACATCATCACTGTGCTGGACATAGCTTGAGTAGAGAGCGGAGCTGTGGATGGTACCCAAGTGCCCACAAACTACAAACTGCCAGCTGAAACTACAGGGGGGTGGATACAAGGTCAGTCATCCTACTAATTGAGAAAGTGCAACAGTGATTGGGCTGTACTACAAGAAGTTTTTGCACAAAGGCAAAGTGCTTGGCAAAGGACACCAAGATTCTAATAGGAATGCCTCTTAAATTTAGAAAATATGGTTCCGAGTTCAACCTCATATAATAACAAGTGTAAACTGTAAAGTTTACTAATATAGAAATTATTCTTATTGTACAGGATTTATATAGCGCCAACAGTTTGAGCAGCGTAGTGCTTTACAGTATAAGGAAGGCATTACAATACAATTCAAGACAAGGTGGTAAGGAGGGCCCTGGCCGTGAGGGCTTACAATCTAAAAGGGAGGGACAAGGGATACATAAAGGAGGTAGCTGTGTGGGGATGCATTGTTTGAAAAAGTGATGGTTGAGTCTTAAGGGATCGCCAAAAGGCAGTCAGAGTGGGAGATAGACGGACAGGTTGGGGTAAAGAGTTCCAGAGGATGGGAGAGACTATAGAGAAGTCATGGAGGCAACGGGGGGAGTTGACAAGGGATCTGGAAAGCAGGAGGTCTTTGGAAGAGAGAAGGGGAGGGTTAGTGTGATACTTTGAGACAAGTTTAGAGATATAGCCGGGGCAGAGTTGTGGATGGCTTTGTAAGTCATTGTTAATATTTTGAATTTTCACCTTTGGGTTACTGGAAGCCATTGGAGGGATTGGCAGAGGGGAGTTGCAGACACTGAGCGGTTGGTTAGGTGAATGAGTCTAGCAGCAGCATTCATGATACACTGAAGGGGGATAACCTGTGTAGTGGTAGGCCAATGAGGAGGGAGTTGCAATAGTCAAGACGAGAGATAACAAGGGAGTGGATGAGTAATTTTGCGGTTTCTTTGGTGAGGAAGGGGCGTATTTTGGAGATGTTACGAATGTGAAGGCGGCAAGATTTGTATAGTAATTGGATGTGGGGAAGAAAGGTGAGGTCTGAGTCAAGGATGACACCTAGCACCCTGGCATGAGGGCAGGGATGGATAGTTGTGTTGTCAATCTCAAAGGAAAAGTTGGGTGAAGGTGCACAGGCGGGAGGAAATATCATGAGCTTAGTTTTTGAAAGATTGAGTTTTAAGAAGTGTTGCGACATCCAGACTGATATGTCAGTCAGTAGATTAGCGACACGCAAGGTCACTGAGGGGTGAGTTGTGGAGAATATATTGAGATATATTTGAGTGTCATCAGCATAGAGATGGTATTGGAAGCCATAAAACAGCTAGAAGTGGTGTTAAAGCCATTTAACATAAGAGAAAAAAAGTTGTGACATAAAAAATAAATTACAGAGAAGTAAACATTAACTAATGGTTACAATAATTAAAGCTATTTGCCTTTGAATTAACTGGGGCATATTACTGATATAGAGTATTAAAAGTAACTTATACGAAGGTTTTTAATTTTCTAACACGGCTTGGTTGCTAAGGGTTGAAACTTTTTCTTCTTCTTTTGCTTCCCTAAAAGCCTTTTTGATTGAGCTTTGATAAATTTCTACTATTATATACCCACGTCTAATGAAGCAGAAAGTTCTGAGCCGGTTGCTGTGTATATAAACGGTTGATTTTTAAAATTTTCAAATGGATTAGCAACTTTTTGATAGCTGCAGGATATGTTCAGGTAAAAATGCATAATCATGGCACATTAACTCTGGATGATATTTCCTGCCTGCCAAATGAGACTATAAAGAGCATTTCCACATACAATTTATGCTCATTATGATGGATAGGCCATGCTAACCCTTTCAGTCCCAAAGGTGCAGAAAATGCCGAAAATCCTGTCAAGTGTAGATGCTAGTAACAGACTGATTCTCTTCAGTGGATATTTGGTGATAAAAAAAATTGAGTAGAAAGTTCAAGCTTCCAAAATCATTACCCTGTACATATTTAAAATTTAAAAAGCTTGAAATTAAACTAACATGTACAATGTATTCTTGTCCTACGTGGTACACTATATTGTGTTTGAGACCAATACTGCATTCACCATTTTATTGCACATTTAAAAAAAAATAATAATACACAGGTTAGTGGGAATACATAGCCAAGGCCATAAACAAATACGGAAACAATGACAGCCCTTTTCAACATATGAAAACAAGCTAAAAGGTTAACTTAGCATTTCTGCTGCTTCTTTCTTCATTATGCAATAACAAAAATTACATTGAATGACACATTCACTTCCCTTAAAAATAAATATATTATTACAAAACTTGGATATAAATAAATAATTTAAAAAAACTTGGATTTTAATTACATTTACTTCCTGATCTTGTTAGGCACTAATGACATAGCCCCATCCTCACAACTGCCCACTGCAAAGGCTATGTCACCAGTGCCTTCCAGGGAGATGCCGTGCATAGACACGGGAGATGCCGTGTTGTTGTTCACACATTTCCATGCTTTCAGCAACCTGTGTGTCAAGTAGCATAATGCCGATTAGTTTGTCATAGCCACGGCAATGTATAAACAACAAACAGTGTAAGATCTCATAAAGTGTGTTTACAAGGCAAAGATAAGAATATTTGTTTAATTTACTCAGGTTTATTCAAGGGTAATTCCACTTTCCTAGGTGAATTTGGGAAATTAGAATTACCCCCTTCTACCCCCGATACTGCTCACTTGACAACTATGACCAATGAAAAGGGCTTCTGACCGGGCTGATCAACGAGAAGCACTTTTTGACCAATGAGTGCTCACCATTTGCAAGTGAAATTCAAAATTCAGATTTCAGGGCTGCGTTATACGGCAGTAAGGGCTACAGTGAGTGCACAGGCAGAGGGGAAGGAGCATTTGCCGAAAGGCAAGTATAGTTAACTGCACATAAGGACATAACAGAAAGGTATAGCGCAAACAGCTCAGTACACAGGTAATACCAAAAGGTTCAAGGGTTTTTCCAATGTACAGAAGTTGAAGGTCAAGACTTTTTGCTACGTACAGTACATAAGTATTGTATTCCACTTGTCAGGAAACCCTATCTGCACGTAAAGTCAACCTACAGACAATTTTTGTTTGTTTTCAGATGGAATGGTAAGGAATTCAGTTAAGTTGCTACTGCTGTTTCTCTGTTGTGGAGATTGTCACTCACTTGACCAAACTGGAAAAGATGGCAAATGGCTGACACTTCTTACATGGGGCAGGTAATAAAGGAAAATCTCTTGGGGAGCAGGTGAATGTTTTAGTATAACTGAAAAGACTGATTTTAAAAAGCTCTGGCCTTACTGAGATTTCCCCCTCCTTCCTGCCCCCAGGTGGCAGGAGAAGTAAGCTGAAATTTCTTGAATGAGGACATAAAAACCATCATAAAATAAAAGTACCAGAAGTGGAACAGCTGCACACTTTCTGCAAGATGTGTGTTGGGAGAGGGGAATAACATGAGTGATATTTCCCTTTTACTAAATGGGATGACTAAATATACTCACTTAGAAAGGAAAAGTGAAATTATCATCAGAAGGGCCACAAGGATAAAGAATATACCCCACATAATCTGAAACAAGAAAAACGACTTAAGTAGTTACATAATTTACAACCATTTATATTACAATAACATTTTTAAAGTGACACTAAACTCAGGAGTTAAAGGAGAACTATGAGGTGAGTGAAACCCACTCATCCTCATAGTTAGAGCCGACGTGTGACAATGAAACTGTCATGTCGGCTCAATAGATCAGGAAGTGAGTGAACACATACCGTCGCTCGCTCACTTCTCGAACATGTCCCTGCAGAGAGCAAAACCATGGGGAACAAAAGTAGCCACCCTCCAGAAGCAAGGACAGTGCCGGCATGACTTAAAAGATGATTTGAGGATTTATAGCCCAGTGATGCACAGATAAACTACATTTCTGTTAATAATTATGGTACTTGAATGCATTTTTAAGTTTTAACTCCTGAGTTTAGTTTCACTTTAAACTACGTTTAGTTTCACTTTAAACTACATTTTGTTAATTCTATACCAGTAAGCAAGAAGTTGGACATTGTGCCAACAGTGCAGGCATCAACTGGGTAACTATTTTGTTGAATTGTCATGTGGTATACAATGTAAAATAAGCTGCAAATCGTGAATTTTACCTGAGTTTACACACATAAAATGCAATTTAGCACCAAGTAAGTTACTTAAAGTGGTACTAAGCTCAGATGTTAAGCCTTAAAAATGCATTCAAGTATCTTAACTATCAACAAACATGTAGCTTATTTTAGTATCACTTGGCTGTATCCCAAATCATCTCTGAATTAATGCGGACACCTCATGGCGAGTGACTACTTTTGTTCCCCATGGGCCCCGTGCATGGATCCTACATTTCTTCAGTTTTTGGGGAAAATAGTGCGTTATCTTGAATTGCTTTTTCATTTGGATAAAACAAAGTTTTTCCGGTTAGCCTCTTGGTTCTTTTATAATTAAGATTTTTTGCTTGCCTGTTTTTTTAAAATAATGGTTGTTAAACTATAACCGGTGAGTGACAACAGGGTGAAAAATGCCAGGTTCAATTTATAACAACAAATATATTTTCTCTCTAGCTATCTTAACTTGAGGATACAAAAAAAAAAAAAGTATACTGGAGGACTTCTGTTGTACTAAGGTAACACACTGGTTGACACGGTGAACTCTACCAGAGGGTAGGAAAATCCTACGTAGGATGGTAATTTAAAACTTTAAGACTAAACTCTAGGCACAAAAACTTTCATCCAAATATATTCCTCAATAGCCACGGAAATTATCTTTTATCTTTCTCTTGGCAATGCCCCATAGAATCTCTATGGGGATCAGGTCAGGCGAGTTTGCTGGCCAATCAAGCACAGTAATCCCACGGTCATTGAACCAGGTTTTGGTGCTTTTGGCAGTGTGGGCAGGTGCCAAGTCCTGCTGGAAAATTAAGTCAGAATCCCCATAGAGCTCGCCTGCGGGAGGAAGCATGAAGTGCTCCAAAATCTCCTGGTAGACGGCTGCATTGACCCTGGACTTAATGAAGCACAGTGGACCAACACCAGCAGATGACATGGCTCCCCAAATCAACACAGACTGTGGAAACTTCACACTGGACTTCAAGCATCTTGCAGTGTGTGCCTCTCCATTCTTCCTCCATACTCTGGGTCCTTGGTTTCCAAATGAGATGCAAAATTTGCTCTCATCAGAAAAGAGGACTTTGGACCACTGAACAACAGACCAGGTCTGTTTTTCTTTAGCCCAGGTAAGACGCTTCTGGCGTTGTTTGTTGTTCAGGAGTGGCTTGACAAGAGGAATACATGTGTGTGGTGGCTCTTAATGCACTGACTCCAGCCCCAGTCCACTCCTTGTGAAAGTCCCCAACACTTTTGAATGGCCTTTTCCTGACAATCCTCTCCAGGCTGCGGTCATCCCTGCTGCTTGTGCACCTTTTTCTTCCACACTTTTCCCTTCCACATAACTTTCTATTAATGTGCTTTGATACAGCACTTTGGGAACATCCAACTTCTTTTGCAATTACCTTTTGAGGCTTTCCCTCCTTATGGAGGGTGTCAATGATGGTTTTCTGCACAACTGTCAGGTCAGCAGTCTTTCCCATGATTGTGATTCCTACTGAACCAGACTGAGAGACCATTTAAAGGCTCAGGAACCCTTTGCAGGTGTTATGGCTTAATTAGCTGATTAGAGTGGGACACTTTGAGCCTAGAATATTGCACCTTTTCACAATATTCTAATTTTCTGAGATTGTGGATTTGGGGTTTTCATGAGCTGTAAGCCATAATCATCACAATTATGACAAATCACGGCTTGAACTATCTTGCTTTGCATGTAATGAGTCTATCTCATATATTAGTTTCACCTTTTAAGTTGCATTAGTGAAATAAATTAACTTTTGCACGATATTCTAACTATTCTAACTAGACCATTTGGTCATTGTTAGCATCAAATTGAATTGAAGTAACATTTTTATCTGTAGTAGAAAATTAGCGGATTTCAGTTTCTAGTTGATGATTTAGTTGTGATATACACATAACTTGGTGGAAGTTTGTCTTTACCCGAAATAGATTCTTGGCTGATAGCCAGTCCTGTGCATGGTATTATTAGTTAGTTCATGCACAGTGGAAAATTGAGTTTTGGAACATCTGTTTGGCTGAGAGAAATCACGTGTTAAATCTGCACATTATTTTGTGACATTCTGCTGAGCTATTGAGAAGCCATTATTGCATTCCAGGAGTTACTTAGTTTTGTCTCATTAATATTTGAAATAATATCCTGCGGTTTTATTATTTGTTGATCAATATTATTGAAATTTTGATCCATGTTCTTTGTCAACGATTATATTTTGATTAATATTTTGCACTGATTTTTAGTTAATAAATATATATATATATTTGAATCTCCTTAATTACAGAACCTTGCTTGTTTTCATCAATAGAAAACTGTTTATTTTATCAGAGTGAACATTCTGACAGCCTCGGACACTACAGGTCAGGTCAGGTAGACTTCACCCGCAGGATACCTGTAAAATACTGCATTTTTCTTATTAACGGGTGGCTCTTCACCCCCCGCTCTGTATCTTATGATGATATTGTTTTATCACTCTTTCCATGCTTGTTGTTCAATGACTGCACTTTGTGTGATTTTCTTGGTTTATTGTGCTTTCAATATACTTAAATAAAAGTAATTTGAATAATATTATCCATTTATTCATATGCATGCTATGTTTAGAGACATATTTTTAACTGCCTGGATGCTACTTATTATGCTGTATAGTTGTCTGTAGGGTGGGGAAATGTTACAGTACAATTGAAAGGTAAACACTTATACTATGCATCTTCATTTACCAACTTCTAACAATAATTCTAAACAGTAAAACAAAATATGGAAAGGTTTTTATTTTCTAAATATTGTTTATACTGTTCATTTGAAGGCCTAAAACCAAATTGATAGAATAAGGTATTTTACCCTACCTTAAATGGTCGCATGGCAATACAACATTTTGTCCAGCAACTCTTTTCATGAAACTCCAAATGTCTCTCTCTCCTTTTTAGTGTTTTGGCTTTTTCTTCAAGTTTGTACAAACTCTGCCTATCCTTGCTCGATAATGGTCTGCCATCCTTGCACTGGATTAAAGAACAAAGAAATATGATAATTCAAAACCAACAGAACGGATCATCTCAAGTACTACAGTTTTCAATAGCAATCCAAGCATGGATATCTATCTTGTATGCTTCAAAGACAAAAGCCTAGACCCCGGCAATACCCAAGCAAGCAGTAGCTGTATATTAACCTCCTGGTCTGATGAACCCCGTACATGACAATGGCAGCTGGAGCCCCCCATGTCTCCCCACACCAAATCCAACAAGCAAAACAAATGGCAAGCACACTCACCAATTCATAACCAGCTTTAAAGCAAGGTGCACGTGGAAGGGCTTTAAAGAGTACAACAGCAAACAATTCCCAGCACACTCACCAGCCAACCTGCAAAAAAAAAACATTCTGCAGAAGACGTGAAACTCTGTTTTTAACCTTAGTAGTTAGACAGTGTTTTTTTGCAAGCTGGCTGGTGAGTGTGCTAGGAATGTTTTGCTGTTGTAACGTTTAAAGCCCTTCCATGTGCACCTTGCTTTAAAGCTGGTTATGAATTGATGAATGTGTTTGCCATTCGTTTTGCTTGTTGGATTTGGTGTGGGGACACATGGGGGGAGGGAGCTTCTGCTACCATTGTCATGTGCGGGGTTCCTTGTGCGTCTTTAAGGGGGTTGGGCTGCCTCCTGGCAAACGTGCACCCAATTCATCCTTTACTATATGTGCTACAAAATGGGGGCTCTCACAGATTATAGTTAAAACCACACTACACAGAGGGGCCTTGACGAGGCAGTGTGGTTTCCACATATTTTGCAGAAGATGTGCAACTAAGGAATCTGTTTTTAACCTTAGTAGTTAAGTGTTTTTGTGCAGGCTGGCTGGTGAGTATGCTGGGATTTTTTTGCTGTTGTACTTTAACCCTTTCACCGTCAAGCCCCCCGACACACTTTTGACCTCAGCTGGCCAACCATTTTTGCGATTTTTCCCATTGTGTTGATTTTCTACTGCTGCATTGCTAGCGTTTGTAAAAGATCCCCATATATTTTCTGAAGGCACAGGCCTGCTAGAATAAAAAGACGGCGCTACTCATTTTGTAGGTACAATTGCAATAATTGCGCAAATGTTTATCAAATCCATATTAAACCGATAAAAATACACAATTAAATTGATAAAAGCACATTCAAATCAGTATCAGTGCACAAAAAAAAAATACTTTTCCATCTAACTCTAAAGGATAAAACTGTATTGAGTTAATACATATTATTTGTAAATGTTAAATTACACCTTTTTGCGAAACGGTACAAAATTAAAAAACGCAAAACTGTAAATAAGAAAACTTGTGTTAAAAATCCTTTGTGCGCTGTGTTGGTGTGTGCTGTGATAAAATGATGCAGACATACAATTAATCACAACACAGTGTATCACAACGCACGGCAATGCATCACAATGCTTTGCCATGTGCTGCCACACAGTTAAAGTATTATTTTAAAAATACAAAAAACAAGCACTGTGATGCGTTCTAACAACTCACCACAGCGCATGTGCATAGTGTACACCACAATATGGTGCACATGTACTTTGTGTGGGGGAGGAGGGGGCCTGTGTTTGGTTATTATTATTATTTTGCGTTTTTACTGTTGGGGGTGGGGGGATTTGGGGAAATATCAAGGGTGTAAATAGACACTCAATTTCTTTTTCTGTAACTTAAGCAATGAATGATTGGAAAGCACTCATAGGCTTCCCATTAATTCACAAACTGGTTGATACTATATATTTACCATCACCAGTTATGAATGGGTAGAAGCCTCTGTACTGAGTGCGTCTACCCATTCAGAAAGTGATGCAAAGCACTTCCTGTTCATTCATAACTAGGGACACATGGAAACCGATCAACCTTTCTGATGAGGCGAGATGCCAAGAGATCCTCGTCCTTAGTCCCCCAATGGAGGCAATCCTGATAAAACACCTCTGGGAGTTACAACCACTCCCACGTATCCACCGACTGGAAGTAATCTGCCTGCCAATTGTCCGACTGGAATGTACACTGCTCCGAGAGCAATTTCTTTGAGGCCTGATTAGCCAACCAACACTTGAACCAGAGAAGACTGAAGCATAACAGCCGAGACCGACAATTTTGATACCAAAGGACAGGCATCCAGCGCCGTGTTGCAGACATATCTCAGACCTTGCACCAGTTGTTCCACCAATTCAGCACAGGTGGGAGAAACCTGCTCACACAAAGAGGGGGGATTGGAAAGCCTATGACCTCTGAGTTATGTACCCAGCAAAGCTATAGGCATCAGGGCATAGAGAATCCCAAGTCCTGCACTATGTCTGCATAACAGTTGGGAGGCCACAAGACACATAGGGGCCTATTTATAAACCTTTTCACACAAGATTGGCACAACTTTCACCTAGGATCCCCACACTTTTCCAATTAACTTTCAATAGTTCTTTATTGAAGTCAAGTGAAGCATACATAACAAAATGCATATAACATAACCAACTTAACATCCAGGATACAGTATGCTTTGCAATATAATTTCCATTCATAGGGAGGTTAGGAGGAAGGGAAGAAGACAAAAACAAGTGGAAAGAGAGGAGGGGAGGAAGGAGGGAAGACAAGGTATGGACCAGTTATGCGTCAGGCAATATTTGAGATCAAACAATGCAGTATGGATGTACAATCCATTTTCTCCAAGCTGAAAGGAATATAGGATATGAGTTATTTTTCATGGCAAACATCTTTTCATAAGAATATTGGGTGTTAATTAATGAAATCAGGTCAATGATGTTAGGAAGAGTTGTTTGTAACCATCTACGGGTAATCAACAATTTAGCTGCATAGAGAATATGCACAACAATAGTGCGAGTTGCCGGTGGGAAAATATAAATATTAATATGCAGTAGGGCGAGTTCTGGGGATGGAGAGAGAGGTGAGGGGGAAAAATGGGAGATAATACGGAAGACTCCATTCCAGAATACACAGAGGGACCTGCAGTGCCAAAAGATGTGAGAAATTGAACCAATGCAGCCGCACAGTCTCCAGCAAAGTGGTGAATTTGAGGCAGAGAATTTGGATAATTTGTAAGGGGTATGATACCACCTATGGATAAATTTTTGGAAAAGTTCCAATCCTTTGATAGGGGTGGGGGTATTGAACGCGAAGTCAGGAGATGTGACACCTGTAGATATCGGTATGTTTCACGTTTGGGGAGGTTATATTGCTCGCACAGGGTAGGCATAGATTTAAGCGTTTTCTGAATATAAAGGTCTTGTATGAAATAAATCCCGGAGTTTCTCCAGTGTCTCAGATTCAGGTGGGGGATGCAGCGTTCTAAAAAGTCTAGTGGAGTGAGAAATGTGTGGACGGATTTGGTACATGGGAAGGAGGTAGGTAAGGTTTTCCACATCGTGAGTGTGGATTGTATAGTCGGAAAGGGCGAGGAAAGAGGGATTGGAGTCACGTTAAGCGACAGTAAGAGATTCACAGCAGAGGTACAAGACAGTAGGGAAAGTTCCATTTGAGCCCACAGTTTGTCTTGTGTATTTTGGCACCAGTGTTGAACTTGAGCTAGGATTGTAGCTGCGTGGTACTTAGCGAGGTTAGGAAGGGCGAGCCCTCCCATGGATTTATGTTTATAGAGGATTTGTGCAGAACATCTAGGTTTCTTATTATGCCATACGAAACGGAGGATTAGTTTTTGCATGTGGGTAAAAAAAGAGGTGGGGGGAATTATGGGAAGAGTTCGAAAGATATAGAGTATTTTGGGAAGGATTAACATTTTAAATGCTGCTACTGTACCGCATACTGTAAGGTAAAATTTGGAGAGGGAGGCCAGGTCTTTAGGTATGGTTTGGAGAAGCGGTTTGTAGTTGTAGTCATATAGTTTCATTGATGAGGCTGGTAGTTGAATGCCAAGATAAGTGATGGATGAATTCGCCCAAGCATAGGGGTAAGCTGCTTGTAAAGTTAGTTGTAGAGAGGGGGAAATATTGAGACCTAGGAGGTGAGATTTTGTGTTGTTGACCTTGTAATATGAGACTTCGCTAAATCGGTCTAGAAGGTGTCTTACAGCGGGAAGGGATGTTAGTGGGCGAGAGAATATAAGGACTACATCATCCGCAAATAGACCTATTTTATTGGTTGTGGGGCCTACCTCAATGCCATGAATGTCGAACGCCTTTTCGGCATTGAAGGAGAGAAAGAGGGAGGGGTTCTTATTGAGTTCCATGTGTCTTAATATATTTAATAGGGGTCTAGTGCCGTCCGGGGCCTGACGTCCATGCACAAAGCCTACTTGGTCGGGGTTTATCAGTAGAGGGAGGATATGTAGAAGTCTTCGACAGTATCTTCGCATAAATTTTGACATCAGTGTTCAGTAATGAAATTGGTCTGTGATTACAAGGGGGAGGAGTGATCTTTGTCGGGTTTAGGGATGGTCACTATAATACCTTGAAGCATTTCTTTCGGGAAAGTACCCAAAGACATAGTCCGATTGTAAATCTCACAGAGGTGTGGAGCAAGGATATGTTTAGAGTTTTTATAGTATTCATTAGGGTAACCATCAGGTCCAGGAGATTTATTGAAGGGTAGAGAATCAATGGCTAGAATAATTTCATGAGTGGTAATGGGAGCGGATAGATCGGACACTTGCTCCTTCGCAAGATTGGGAAGATGGACAGAGCTAAGGAAAGTGTTAATTTGAGTGGTAGTGGGTTGGTGAGTAGTGGGGTCATCTCGGAAGTTATACAGTGAGTGGTAGTATTGTTTAAAGATGTCAGTCATCTGTTGAGGGTGGGTGGTTTTGGTCCCTGTGACCGGATCAGTGAGGTGAGAGAGCCTGGAATGATGTGATTGGGCTTTGAGCCTCTTAGCTAGAAAAGAACCTGCTTTATTCTCAAGGGCATAGGAGTCAGCTTTAATGCGTTTTAAGGAGTACTCATATTTATGGAGGAGGAGTAGTCTTTGTTTCTGTCTTAAATCCAGTAGTGTAGTGGATAGGCTAAGAGAAGGAGATTGTTTATTAAGCTAATCTAAACTAGTAATTGAAAGCAGTAGTTGTGCGATTTGGGAAGAGTGTTTTTTTAAAAAAATGGGAACTTGGTTTGATCATAACCCTCTAATATACGCTTTATGTGCATTCCATAGTGTGTACTGGTCAGTGTCGGGAAGATCATTAAGAGCGAAATAATCTTTTTGTGCATCTAAAATCTGTTGGGAGATTTCCGGATGAGATAGGAGGAAGGTATTTAGTCTCCAAACAAAAGTAGAGCTGGGTTGGCGATGGTCCTCGACACTGAGCGTTATCAGAGCATGATCAGACCAAGAGATAGTTTCAATAGTGGAGGAGATCAATGATTGAAGCGAAGTGGTATCTGTTAAAAACATATCTATCCTTGAATAGGAGTGATGAGCATGGGAGAAAAAGGTGTAGTCCCTTTCGCTACCATGTTGACATCTCCATATGTCGAGCAGGCCATGGCGGTGGAAAAGCTTACCTAGGGAGCAATGAGAGCGGCTATTCACTGCGGTCGAGTCCAGGTGAGGATCAGTGATAGCATTGAAGTCCCCTCCAATAAGTAAAATACTTTGACGCTGTTTGTCAAGAATACAGAAGAACTTACGCACAAATTTGGCCTGTCCCACATTTGGAGAATATAGATTAGCAATAGTACAAAGCACGTTATTTATGGTACATACGAGAATGATGTATCTACCCATTGGGTCTGAGACGCAGTTATATAATTGGAAGGATACAGAAGAGTTGATTGCAATAAGGACTCCTGCTTTCTTCTTTTCTGAGGAAGATAAGAAAACATGTGGAAAGTCTCTAAAGTGAAGCTGAGGTGTTTTGGCCGTAGAAAAATGGGTTTCCTGGACCAGTAGAATATCAGTCTGGAGCGATTTTGCCTCTCGGAGGAGGTTGGAGCGTTTGTATGGACTGTTCAGTCCTTTAGCATTGATGGAAGTTATTCGAAAAGGCATGGTTCAGAAGTAGACGATGAGGGTATGCAGGAAGTCGAGTGCATAGGTGCGGTATTGATGAAATCCAGAGCAGGAGAGTGTGGAAGGTAGTTCATCTCAGATGTGGTGGAAGCAGCAGGCAGCTTGGTTGAGTATGTAGAGGAAGCGTAGATAGAGGGCATAACTGATGATGATAACAGTACAAAAATCATGAAGAAGTGGACAAGGGAAACAACATCAGGGAGAAGAGAACAAATATAAAAAATGTCCGCAAAAAAGGCGGAAAACATGGTCAGCAATGATTGCTGATGATGTGGGGGAGAAAAAAA